TTTTTTATGTATTTGGGTGCTCCTGCATTGGGTGCATATATGTTTGTCAGGGTTATATTCTCTTGTTGTATCAATCCCTTTAGTATTATGAAGTGGCCTTCCTTATCTCTTGTTATGGCCTTCACTTTGATGTCTATTTTGTCTGATATAAGTATTGCTACCCCAGCTTTTTTTTCATTTCCATTTGCCTGAAAGATATTTTACCATACCTTCACTTTCAGTCCTTGTGAGTCCCTTATTTTGAGGTGGGTCTCTTGTAGACAGCAAATATATGGGTCATGTTGTCTTATCCGTTCAGCCCCTCGATGTCTTTTGATTGAAGCATTTAGTCCATTTACGTTTGAAGTTATTATTGAAAGGTACTTGTTTGTAGCCATTTCTATTTTTTGTCCCTGTTTTCTTTCTTCGCTCTTTATTTCTTCTTTTTACACCAGTCACTTTAGCATTTCTTGCATTTCTGGCTTGGTTGTGATAAACTCCCTTAGCCTTTTTTTGTCTACAAAGCTCCTGATTTCCCCTTCAATTTTGAATGATAGCCTTGCTGGGTAGAGAATTCTTGGATTCAGTCCTTTGCATTGCATCACTTTGTAAATTTCCGTCCATTCTTTTCTGGCCTGATGTGTTTCTGTTGAGAAATCATTTGATAATCTAATGGGAGATCCCTTGTATGTAACTTTCCATCTCTCTCTTGCAGTCTTTAAGATTCTCTCTTTGCCCTGAACATTTGCCATGGTAATTATGATGTGTCTTGGCGTGGGTCTTTTCAGGTCCATCTTGTTTGGGACTCTCTGTGCTTGTGTGACTTTTTTCTTCCCCACCTCAGGGAAGTTTTCTGATATTATTTCTTCCAATAGGTTTTCTAACCCTTGTTCCTCTTTCTGTTGTTCTGGCACCCCTATTATTCGTATGTTGTTTCATTTCATGTTGTCCCATAACTCCCTTAGGCTCTCCTCCTGTCTTTTAATTTTTTTCTCCAGTTGCAGTTCAGTTTGGGTGTGTTTTGTTTCCCTGTCTTCTAATTCGCTAATTCTAGTCTACTGTTGAAACTTTCAATGGTGTTTTTTATTGCAGCTATATCACTCTTATAAGGGCAATAACATAAGTTATTGATTTTTTCATCCATTTCTTTTTGATTCTTCCATAAGTTGTTGATTTTTTTATCTGTTTCTTCTTGATTCTTGCATAAGTTGTTGATTTTTTCCTCCATCTGGTTTATGCACTCTAGGCCCCTTAATCTGAATTCTTTTTCTGACATGTTGCATGCCTCGGTTTCACTTAGCTGCTTTTCTCGCGAGTCCTCTTCTTTCCTTTGGGGGTTTCTTTGTCTACCCATGTTTGATCTCACCGACAGATCTAGATGTTGAGTCGTTCAGGGGCTGCTCCTTGGGTGGCTGTGGCTCCTTGGGCTGCGGTTGCTCCTCGGGCAGTTGTGGTAGCAGTTGCTCCTCAGTTGGCAGCAGCTCCTCTGGTGGGTGCTGTTCACATCTGTGGTGGCTCCTCTGGCTTGTGGGGGGAGGCTTCTCACTCAGCTGCTGTTCCTCAGACAGAGGGTGTGCTGATCACGAGGCTGCTGTTCCTTGGATGGTGGCGGGCTATACACGCAGCTGCTACTCCTTGAACTGGGGCTGACTGCTCACGTGGCTGCTGTTCCTTGAATGGGGGCTGGCTGCACGCTGCTTTTGTTCCTCTGATGTGGTGGGCTGCTTGTGGGGCTACTGCTCCTTGGACTTGGACAGGTTGATTGCAAGTCTGCTGCTCCTCAGATGGCGGTGGTCTGCTTGCACGGCTGCTGCTCTTTGGACGGGAGTGAGCTGCAGGCGTAGCTGCTCCTCCTCCCCAGGTATCTGGTTATGTGGCTTGCTCTCTAGCACTTTAGCCAGACAGGATAAAATTCACCTTAACAAGACATGACTCAAGGGGAACAAAGCATGAATGTACTCACGACACCGATAACCCCAATATAAGTGACCACCTGAGAAAAGAGAATTAGGGGAGAGAAAAGAGAGTACAAATGATATCTAAGAGACAGAGAGAGAGAGAGAAAGAAAAAAAAAGATAGGAGAGAAAAGAAAAAGGAGAATACACACACACACACACACACACACACGGAGAAAACACCACAGAACCAATAGATAAACCAAACAAATACAAACACCAAACACCCAGTAAAGAGGGTGGGGGCAGAATCTCATTCCATTTTAATTCTGTATGCCTAGGTTTCTCTCTCTATTTCTTCTTTTCATTACAGCAGTCCCTTTAAGCATTTCTTGTAATGCTGGCTTGGTGGTGATGTACTCCTTTAGCCTTTTTTTGTCCAGGAAGCCCTTTATTTGAACATCTATTTTGAATGATAATCTTGCTGGATATAGTAATCTTGGTTTCAGATCCTTTCTTTTCATTACTTTGAGTACTTCATGCCATTCCCTCTGGCCTGCAGAGTTTCTGATAAGAAATCGGTGTCAGCCTTATTGGAGCCCTTTTGTAGGTAACAGGTTGGTTTTCTCTTACTGCCTTTAAGATTCTCTCTTTGTCTTTTATTTTTGGTATTTTAATTATGATGTGTCTGGGTGTGGGCCTTTTTGTGTTTCTTGCTTGAGGTTCTCTGTGCCTCCTGGACTTGTGTGACTTTTTCCTTTACTATGTTAGGGAATTTTCTGCCATTATTTCTTCAAACACTTTCTCTATACCTTACTCCATTTCTGCCTCTTCTGGCACTCTTGCTATTCTAATATTGTTACATTTCACGTTGTCCCACAACTCCTTTAAGCTGTCCTCCTATTTTTTTTTCTTTTTGGTTCTCTGATTGAGTGATTTTTTTTCAACACTGTCTTCTAATTCACTGATTCAATCCTCAGATTCCCCTAATCTGCTGTGTATTCCTTGCAATGTGTTCTTTATTTTTGCTATGTAATTTTTTATTTCTTTTTTCATAGTTAACTATACCTTTTCTCATGCTGTTGAGCATCTTTACCATCATTATTCTGAAGTCTGTATCAGATAAATTTCTTATCTCCATTTCATTTATCTCTTCTTCTGGGGAATTCTCTTGTTCTTTCATTTGTGGGTTGTTTCTTTGTCTCCTCATTTTTGCTGCCTTTTTGGGTTTGTGACTATGTATTAGGGAGATCTGCTACATCTCAATCTCTAGTGCAGGGCAGTGTCAAATGCTAATTAGACTGGGAAATACTCAATTAGATCAGGGAAATACTCAAAGCCTCCAGAGACTGCCTCTGCCTACAGACTGATAGGATTCCATCTTGAATAGCCCTCAGGCAATCATTCTTAGGTGTGGTGATAGTTTTTCACAGAGTGGGGCAATTGCTTCTGTGTGGAAGCTAACTGTTATTCTCAGTCTATTAATGGATCTCAGAAATTCCACCCGGTGGGGCAAGGTGTTTTCCAATAGGGTGGTCATCAGCTGTCTTTCCCCAAGGCAAAGCCACCTATATAGCCAATGTCTGCGTGAATGAATGAGTCAGCACAGGAGACTAAGGTTTCTGCCTTCTGAGATCTAACCCCAAAGCCCCCAATCCTGGATTCTGCTCACATAACTCCAGTCCACTCTGCCCTCCCCCTGCCAGAGCACAAGGTGATTGGCTCCACAGGGAATTTTGTGTGTTGGCACTTTATGAGGGTGCCTGAATTTCCAGCTGTATCTCCCTGGAAAACAGCAACCCCACTGCTTTTTACAGCCATCTGTTATGTGTGCACTCTTCTCAGTTCTAGTGCTCTCTGCTGGGGGTCCCAGCTTGGGGATTAGACTCCAGAGTTCTCAATGGCAATCCCTCACAGCTGAGATATCTTTCCTGAACTTCAGTTGTTATCTGTGGGAGCCCACCAGCCCACCAGTGCCTCCTCCCCTCCTACCAATCTCTATTCGGTTTCCTCTTTTCATCCTCAGGATCAGGGTTCTGTTCATCAAGTCTTCTGTTGATTATTCAGGAAGTTTTTCTGTATTTTAGTTATAATTACAGTTTGTTCCTGTGTGTATGTCTGTGCAGCATCGACTTACTCCTCACTCATAGTTTCCATTTTTCAGTGTTTTAAGATTTTTTCTTATTTGGTAAAAATAATTAAAATGAGCAACCAGTGGTTGGTTTAGCCATGTTCTTATTTTGTCTTATTTTCTCTAGGTAGCAGTAAAATTGGTGGACTTATTTCTTTTATTCTTTTGATAAAATTTTAATTTTAAGGGTAAAATTCAGTTTCTTTTAATTCAGAGGAGTAATATTGGTCTCTTTTAAAAAGTATTACATGTCAATGAGACATTGTTTGGCTGCATTTCTGAAACTCAGAGGAAGACTCAACCAAGGGAAAAATGATCCTGCTGTCTGTGTTTTTAATAGACAGTTTTTGTTGGCAAACTTAATGCTTATGTTCTAAGGCCAAGGGAACAATCCTATTTTAGACTTCCTTTCTCCAGACTATGACACACAAAAGCTAGCCAGAAAATGGCTTAGCAGGTACTGTAATGACTAGCTAAAGTAAAGGAAAAATTACCAAAATGTCCTAGATATAACATTCCTTTGAAATGTTTATAGTCGGTGACAAATCCAGCATTTGATTGTGTTAACATCTCTGGTACAGACAGGAAAACAACTGTGGTAGAGATTTTCTGTTTCAGAAACAGTGAATACTGTATAAAGGATCCAAGAAGAGCATTTTAGAAGGCCAGAAAGAGCATTCTTTTCTCTAGTCTATTCTTTTCCTAGTAACTGGAACATATTAGTTGCCCCTCTTGTATAAGTTAATTTTGGGGCTTTTTTATTGAAAGAATCTTTGATTTGCAATTGATATTAAAACTCACTCTATTGCAATTTACATATAAAACAAAGGAGTCTCAATAACTCATATTTCTCTCATGATGAGCTGAGATGTTCCAGCCTAAGGATTTGACCTAATGGGTTCTATAACTGTGTGTTTGGTCAATAGAATTAACATACACATGAGTTTTGGTCTTTGACTACTAAATTCTATATTCTCTCTCTGTTGTATTGCAGGATTTATTGGTTATGCTCCATATATCAACCGTATAGTTCAACAGTGGAACCTTCAGGATAATGATGATGATCAGCTATTTTATACTAAAATTTACATTGATCCACTGAAGAGGGTATGTAATAGCTCCTGCTCCCATTTTCAATGTAACCCCCTTGTCCAGGAAGGCTGCTGGAGCTTCCCGGCAGTTAGCAGGCAGAAGAGTAAATAAGGGACCATCTCAGTTTTGTCAACTCCCTTCTCACAAAATACTTCCTTGTATTTTTTCTTTGACTGCAACATATTTGTGTGGCTACATATAATATGCAAAGGAAATGCTGTCTTTTATTTGTAGTATGTGTATCTTGCTAGAAATCTGAATTCTGTAATTAAGGGGGGAGGGGAGTGATGTTGGGGCAAATAGCAGTCCTGAGATTGATTTAAATGAAACTGTGGAGAAAAGTATAACCAAAGCTCAATTTTAACAATATTTTTAATATATTTACCTAATATAACTGTTACAGTTCTAGAATTTACTGAATTGTGTATTCATGGGTGCTGTCATTATGAAACAAGGTTTTCTTAAAAGTACATTTACAGTGAATTTGCAGCTATATTGTTTCTGTTTCTTAGATAAGTACTTTAGTGACCTAAATATTTTCATTAGACACTTAATACTTAAGAAACTCCATTCTTAAGCTATTTTTCTTCATCTCTATATTTTACTTTCCCTCTGTGTGCCTGCCACGGCAAGCCTGAGGGATTTGGCCTCTCATCTGGAGAGAAACCTCCTCTTAATGTGGGTGCAGCATGCTGCTCATCTTTTCTTGTAGTTCAACTAGGAAAGTGCTTTGAGTCTTATTTAGTTGTCTTTGCTTAGGGTTCTTCCTCACTGTTGTGTTTATAATATTTTTGGTTGTCTAAATCCTGTTTAAATTTCTCTCTAAGCATAAGAGTATGCTCAGTATACGTCTTAGTCTTCTTGGATTGTCATAACCAAATACCATAGACTGGATGGTTTTTTAAACAATAGAAAAAATTGTTTTCAAAGAGTCTAGAAGTCTGAGATAAGGTTGCTAGCATAGTCAGTTTCTGATGAAAACTCTCTTCCCCACTTGGTCCTCACATGGGATAGATAGAGGAAGAAAGAGACAGACAGAGGGAGAAGGAAAGGGAGAGGGAGGGCAAGCACAGGTGTGTAAACACTAATTTCTTCTCATAAGGGCAAAATTTACATCATGAGGGACCCCCTCTTATAACCTGAACTTAACCCTCATTGCGGTTAGAACTTCAACATAGGAATTTTGAGGAGCACAAAGTTTCAATACACAATAGCATGCACAATACTTTTAGGAATATTATTGTGAAGAACAATGTAGCTGAAAAACTGCATTGAGAATCATAAGGGTTTTTTAAAATATATTTTTATTGATTTCAGAGAGGAAGGGAGAGGAAGAGAGAGATAGAAACATCAGTGATGAGAGAGCATCATTGATTGGTTGCTTCCTGCACACCCTACACTGGGGATCAAACCAGCAACTCCGGAATTGAACCCCAACCTCCTGGTTCATTAGGTTAACGCTCAAACACTGAGCCACACTGGACTGAGCGAGAATCATAAGGTTTGTAAAGCAGATTAATTGCCAGCCTGTTGGCAATCAGGCCGTTTATGCTGCAATAATAACCCCCAAGCTCAACAGCTTAACAGGGGTTCCTGCTTATTGTAGTCACTTGGTAGAGGGGAGTGGGGCCCTAGCTGATAAAGCAGCTATCTCCAACCTTGCTGGTTCATGTGCCAGAGAGAAGTAGCACACTTAGGGTCTCCAACTGGCAATGACATCTCCAGATGGGAAGTGATTCATTTTACTTCTGCTAACAATTCACTGGTCAGAATTAGTCAGAAGGTAGAGATGTGGAAATACTTGGAAAACAGCATGAATGCTTTCCCATACATTCTATCCTCTAATTTAATCAATAGTAAAATTATAATCTTTCTGAAAAATATTGCTGGAATAATTTACGTATGGAATTTAATTTTTTTAAAGAACAAACTATATTAACATACAGTGTTTGTTGTTCCATTGTCGTTTTTAATATTATCTCTGTTCTTATTTTAGGAAGCTCTTAACATCACATTGGATCACAAATGCAAAATTTTTCAGACTTTAAATGGAGCTGTAGGTATGCTTCCAATATAATGAATTGCTCGTGGATACAAATGGACATCTGTGTGTTCAACTGCTGCTGTTTGGTATATCCATTTTGGGGCTATGACTAAGGTTTACTGTGTAGATATTGCAACTATTAAAATATACTGGACTTGAGCTTATTGATGCAGTAAATACATTCAGTTCAAATCACTGCCTCAGAGTGATGCAAAAAAAGATAAGCTTCTTGCCTTAGGTAACATAGAATTTAGTATCTCACCATCTGGGACTATAGATGTAGTTTTAAATTAATTATACCTACTGTTACACATTTTTCATTATAAGTTCCCTGTATTGAGAATCACTCAGGAATAGTAGAGTATAAGAGTATTTTTTATCTAGCTGAAAAGTACCTGATAACTGGGCACATTCATTGTGGAGTGTGTGTGTGTGTGGTGTGCTTTCCTAAATAGACATATATCTTGATGAAATACATTAATGCATTAAAATTAATTAATCAATACATTAAATATCAACATACATTAATTCATTAATAAATTATACTTAAAATTTAAAAATACTTTGCAATTCAATATGATTCTTCAAGGCAGTACATAGAGTAACAGGTTTCTCAGAATGGAAAGAATTTAGTTTGGAGTGTTCAGGAAGTGAGGGAAGGAATCTGAAAACAAATAAAAATACCTCTCTGCTCCCATATGACTTGTATATTACTGGAATTACATTAAGCCTGACTTTTTCTTTTCCTTTTTGTTGAATTTATTGGGATGACACTGATTAACAAATTATATAGGTTCAGGTGCATAATTCTATAACACATCATCTGTATACTGCATTGTGTGTTCACTGCTCCCCCTGCCCCCCAATTCAAGTCTCTTTCCATCACCATTTATCCCCTCTTTACCCTCCTCCACCTCCCCCCTGTCCGGTAATCACCACACTGTTCTTCATGTCTGTGAGTTTTTTTCTCTCTCTTTTTTTGTCTTTTATGTGTTCAATCTTTCCACCCCGCCTACACCTCAGACAGCTGTCAGCTTGCTCTCTATCTACGGGTTTGTCTCTATTTTGCTTATTTAGCTCATTTTGTTCATTAGATTCCACATATGAATGAAATCATATGGTACTTGCCTTTTTCTGACTGGCTTATTTCACTTAGCATGATACTCTCCAAGTCCCTCCATGCTGTCTCAAAGGGTAAGAGATCCTTCTTTTCTACAGCCACATAGTATTCCATGGTATAAATGTACCAGAGGTTTTTTATCCACTCATCCACTGATGGACACTTAGACTGCTTCCAAATCTTGACTCTTGTACTCTGCAGTGAACATAGGGGTGCATATATTCTTTCAAATTAGTGTTTTGGGTTTCTTTGAATTTATTCCCAGACGTGGAATTGCTGGGTCATAAGGCAGTTGCAATTTTAATTTTTTGAGCTAACTCCATAATGCTTTCCACAGTAAACCTGATTTTCAAGAACTGGAAATACTATCAGTCATGGCCAAGTGTAGAAACCTTGCTTATTGTGCCAGTCAGTGTTCTATTTGCCTTACATATATTATTATTACCTTTATAATAACCTTGAAAGGCAGGCAAGGATCCCATTTTACAGATGAATAAATTGTGACAATAATTTAACTCTTCTAAGATCACATTACTATCAGGAGGCGGAGGCAGGATTGCAAAGATGCTTTCCTTCCACCAGACACTTCAGTGGCTCAGCACCTCAGTCTGCTGGTGCCAGGTTGGAGTATGTGAGGTACTCAGAATCTTATTCTTTGTCATTTGGGTATCTGTTGACTTGGAGTAGGCCAAGTTACTACAAGTGTAGTAGCACATGATAGCATGCATGAGCAAATTTATAACAATAAGAAAAAATATATATGTGTATATATATATATACACACATATGTATATATGAATATACATGCACATTTTAAATTACTAAAACCTGTTTTTCTTTTTAACTCAGATGAGGTTGTTCTGAAATTTGAAAATGGCAAAGCCAGAGCTAAGAATGTATTTTATGAAACATTACCAGTGGCAATTAATGGAAATGGACCCACCAAGGTGAGTCACAGTGACTTTTCCCTATTTTCTTATTTTTTGGAGATAGACTATGGAGCAATATGTAGAACAGCTTCTTTTTTTAATATCTTTAAGAGGCTTTATTTTGGTGCCAACAATTTAATGGCTTTATCTTTTACACAGTATATTGTCTGATTTAATCTAGATTAGCTGATGACTTTTTCTCAGCAGAGTGATAATTTTTTATGCTATTTAAAACACATCTCACTTCAGTGTTTAATAATAACAGCTAACTGGAGAGTGAGCCATGTTTCCTTCATATAGGGCAGTGGTTCTCAACCTTGGCTGCACATTTGAATCACCTGGGAATCTTTTTAAAATCCTGATTTCTGGGCCTCATCCTCCGGAAATTCTGTTTCTTTGTTATGGGGTGGGGCCACAACATTAGTAACAAAGAAACAGAATTTCCGGAGGATGAAGCCCAGAAATCAGGATTTTAAAAAGATTCCCAGGTGATTCTAATGTGCAGCCAAGGTTGAGAACCACTGATATAGGGTATCCTCTCTTAATAGGAATAATTGAGGTTGTTAAGGGATCATTTGTTTCACCTGTGTCACCATTTTTTAAAGTATCAACTCTGCTAAGATTGAGGTGTAATTATATGCCCAGAATGCTTCCTTTTGCACTTATTTTCAACCTGGGTTATAGTTGACAAACACAACTTGACTAATGAAATTTTGGATGCTTTTCAAGTGTATATAATTGAGCTTGCTGAAAATGTAATTGACTGCAAATGTATAGGTTAGTTGGTAAAGTTCATATTGCTGGTATCCAGTTAAAATGGAACATGATTGTGTGTGTGTGTGTGTGTGTGTGTGTGTGTGTGTGTATGTGTGCGCTTAAAACCATGTTCTGAGATACTGAGTTGGCTGCTTTACTCATAAGTATATGAAAAGAGATTACAAATAGATTTGCTTTGTGGGAAGACCAAGATGGGGAGATGTGTGCTGTTTCAGAAAAGTGAGTAGTCAGAATTCCAGTAAAAGCCATATGCATAGGAAGAAATTCAAGGGAAAACCCACTTTGGCAGTGTTTCCAACATCAAAATGGAAGTAGACTCCCCTTCTCTCCTAGTTAATCGTTCTACCTTGCTTTCTGTCCTGTTCCAGTTCTCCTATAAAGCTGGCTTTCCCATGTGTTCTCCTTTCTCTATCGCAGGGGTCCTCAAACTTTTTAAACAGGGGGCCAGTTCACTGTCCCTCAGACCGTTGGAGGGCCGGACTATAGTTTTTTTAAAAAAAACTATGAACAAATTCCTATGCACACTGCACATATCTTATTTTGAAGTAAAAAAACAAAACGGGAATACAATATTTGTATTTGCATGTGGCCCGCGGGCCGTAGTTTGAGGACCCCGGCTCTATCATGTATCAATTTCCCCAGGTGCATTATCCTTCTTATTACCATTTTAAAGACCCTCAAATATTTCCCATCCTCTAAACAAAACAAAACTGAGCCAACACAAACTATAATATCCCCCTCAATCCACATTGCCTTCCAGCCTTCCTATCTTTTCTCCTCCACATCACAACCAGGCTGCTTCTTTAAAGTGGAGACAACTCACAGCTACCATGCACCTTCCCACCCACCAGGAAATGAGCCTCCAGGTCCTGTGGGTTGTTATATCCTTGATGAATAGAAAACACTTGTCAGCCCTCATTTTTAATTCACCCAAAGATAGCTTTCAACAGTGTTGATCTCATTTGGTCCTACTTGAAATATTCTTTCCCTTTGTTTCCATGATGCTCTGCTGATCTGTCTACTAATTTTCTAGTTTTTCCTCTTCAATCTTTCTCTTTTCTTGCTTTACTATATATTTTTAAAATATTTTCTTTTTTATGTGGAGGGCAATGGGTTTGGGTGAATGGTCCTCTGCCTATACTGTTTTAGTTAAGAGTTCCACAGTATCTATCTGAGACATCTTCCTTTTCTCTTCTGCACACATTTTTGGGTAATTTGCTTCACTCCCACATCAGCAAATCTTCTCTCAAGGCTGATGATTTGCAGATCCTGCCACTAACTCCTGGTATCTTTCCTGAACTCCAGGTCTGAATACCCAGTTGGTAGATTTCCTTGTGTGTCATATGAGACCTGGAGCTCAGCACCTTAAGCTCTGCCTCCTCTTCCATCCAATTGGTTAACCAGAACCTGGGTTTTATTTTAGTGGTAGTTGCTTCCCTCTCCCAATCCAAGTGCTATTCTTTCTAACTGCTATGTATGGTGGTTGATCTAATTTTCTTAGTGCCAATGGCAACTTCCTTAGTTCAGTCCACCTGCAACCTCCCACCAGTAACAATCACCCACCAGTACAGTAGTAGCCTAACCATGGTCGGCAAACTGCGGCTCGCGAGCCACATGCGGATCTTTGACCCCTTGAGTGTGGCTCTTCCTAAGCCTTAGGAGTACCCTAATTAAGTTAATAACAATGTACCTACCTATATAGTTTAAGTTTAAAAAGTTTGGCTCTCAAAAGAAATTTCAATCCTTGTGCTATTGATATTTGGCTCTGTTGACTAATGAGTTAGCCGACCACTGGTAGAACACGAGTTTTTGGCTGAAGTAGAAGCCAATCATTTTACTCACCTGTGCAGCACCCTCCATGGATTTAGGTAAAGTTCCTAATTCTCAACTTATCTCATAAGGCTCTTTTAAAACTTTGCTCCTGTTTAGTGATCACTCATCTACTATCCCATACCCAACTCCTAGCACAATAAATATTCACACACACAGTTTTCATAAACAATCATTCTTTTTCTCAGCTCCTGCCATACTGAATTACTTTGAACTTCACAAAATTTTCATGTTTTTTTTCTTTCTGTAAGTCTTTCGTACATGCATATCACTCATTCTGGAAGCCTCTGCCCCCAGTTCCACTCCTTTACCAACCTACTCCATCTTGTTCATCTTTTAGTGTCAGCTTAGTCTTTACTCCTATGTATGCTTTTATAATATCTGGAACTTTGTCCATCAAGTACATACCACACACTGGACAGTGATAGAATTTACCTGATTTTTAGTCTCACTTACTGGGGCTTTAGCCTAAGAATTACAGAACTCATATATATTCCCTTAACTTTTTGTTTTCCTGGGGTTTAGCACTTATGTACCCTATATTAGCGTTTCAATAAATGGAATTAGAATGTCAGAGTCTAAACAATGTAATGATCTAGCATTATTCTTGAGAGTGGTAAGAAAGGTTTTTTTCTGGAAAGACGAAATACTTGTAAAATTACTGCGGGGTTCAGTGGCTTGGCTCAGTGGTTGAGTTCTGCCTATGAACTGGGAGGTCATGGTTCGATTCCCAATTAGGGCATATACCCGGGTTGTGGGCTCAATCCTCTGTGGGGGCGGGGTGTACAGGAGACAGCTGATCAATGATTCTCTCTCATCATTGATGTTTTTTATTTCTTTATTGATTAAGGTATTACATATGTGCCCTTATCACCCTATTGCCCCCCCTCATGCCCTTACCCCCTGGTGTCTTTGTCCATTGGTTAGGCTTATATGTATGCCTACAAGTCCTTTGGTTGATCCCTCCCCCTACCTTCCCTCTGAGGTTTGACTATCTGATCGATGCTTCTCTGTCTCTGGATCTGTTTTTGTTCATCAGTTTATGTTGTTCATTCCATAAATGAGTGAGATCATGTGATATTTATCTTTCTCTGACTGGCTTATTTCACTTAGCATAATGATCTCCAGTTCCATCCATGCTGTTGGAAATGGTAAGAATTCCTTCTTTTTTACTGCAGCATAGTATTCAATTGTGTAGATGTACCACAGTTTTTTAATCCACTCATCTGCTGATGGGCACTTAGGCTGTTTCCAAATCTTAGCTATGGTAAAGTGTGCCGCTATGAACAAAGGGGTGTGTATATCCTTTCTGATTGGTGTTTCTTATTTCTTGGGATATATTCCTAGAAGTGGGATCACTGGGTCAAATGGGAGTTCCATTTTTAATTTTTTGAGGAAATTCCATACTGTTCTCCATAGTGGCTGCACCAGTCTGCATTCCTACCAGCAGTGCATGAGGGTTCCTTTTTCTCCACACCTTCGCCAGCACTTGTCATTTGTTGATTTGTTGATGATAGCCATTCTGACAGGTGTGAGAGGGTACCTCATTGTTGTTTTGATTTGTATCTCTTGGATGATTAGTGACTTTGAGCATGTTTTCATATGACACTCAGCCTTCTGTATGTCCTCTTTCAAAAAGAGTCTATTTAGGTCCTTTGTGCATTTTTTTATTGGATTGTTTATCTTCCTTTTGTTAAGTTGTATGAGTTCCCTGTAAATGTTGGAGATTAAACCCTTATCAGTGATAGCATTGGCAAATATGTTCTCCCATGCAGTGAGCTTTCTTGTTGTTTTGTTGATGGTTTCTTTTGCTGTACAAAAGCTTTTTATTTTGATGTAGTCCCATTTGTTTATTTTCTCTTTAGTTTCCATTGCCCTAAGGGGCTCTATCGGTGAAGATATTGCTTAGGCATATGTCTGAGATTTTGCTGCCTGTGGATTCCTCTAGTATTTTTATGGTTTCCCATCTTATGTTTAAGTCCTTTATCCATTTTGAGTTTATTTTTGTGTATGGTGTAAGTTGGTGGTCTAGGTTCATTTTTTTTGCATGTATCTGTCCAATTTTCCCAACACAACTTATTGAAGAGACTGTCTTGACTCCATTGTATGTTCTTGCCTCCTTTGTCAAATATTAATTGAGCATAGTGGTTTGGGTCAATTTCTGGGTTCTCTCTTCTATTTCACTGATCCATATGTCTTCTCTTGTGCCAGTACCAGGCAGTTTTGAGAACAGTAGCTTTGTAATACATCTTGATATCTGGTATTGAGATCCCACCTACTTTGTTCTTCTTTCTCAGGATTGCTGCAGCTATTCGGGGTCTTTTTTTATTCCAGATGAGTATTTGGAGAATTCGTTCTAAATCTGTGAAATATGCTGTTGGTATTTTAATGGGGAGTGCATTGAATCTATA